CTTTGTCCAAGAGGAAAAATGGGCCCCAACTGCAAGTGTAACAGTGTAGTCCCCAGGAAAAGGGGAAGTTCCAGGTTTCCTGTCCCACCCAAAAGGAGGATGGAGCTGAGCAGAGAGAGAAGCAGCTGCAGAGGAGACTGAGGAAGGAAGGAAGCAGGATGGGAAGCCAGAAGGAGACCTGGAGGAGGCACATGGAGTCTAGAGACACCTGAAGAAACTGCACTTGCCTTTTGGTTGTGGACTGGGTGACACAGATGTGGGTGAGACTTGTGGGGAGGTGACAATGGTGGTTTTTGTCTTGATTTTCATTTTGCTCTTTTCCTCCCAGACTTGTCTGGTTGCTTCTGATCCTTTTCTGTGGGTCCCCACTGGAAGGTGCTTTAGACTTGTGGCAGGCTTTGGGGCCTTGCTCTGGGCCAACCCCGTTTCGGTGGACTTTTACCCACAAGGGGATGGGTAACCTTGGGTGCTTGATTCAGAAACTATATTCTTTGCCTTTCCTGTATTGTTCACTAATTGTATTAAAGTTCCTTTTCATTAAAGTCTCATATGTTTTGTGTTGATGGCGGATGGCAGAACCTATTTAGAGCAGGCAGGTTTGTGGGGTCTGGGCTGCCCCTCTCCCTGCCCTGCAACACAAGGAACTCCTTACAGAATTCTGAAAACCAGGGCCTCCCAGGTGGTGCAAGGGGTGAAGACGCAACCTATGAAGCTATCCGCAGCCTCTGCAGCAGGAGTTCGAGCCCCATCCAGGGAGCAACAGACCTCTCCTGACTCGCCTGCTGCTCCCCTCAGCAGTGTATTTCAGTCAATCTGCTGTTATGTTCCCTGCTCTGTCTCTGGTGAATCCTCTCACCCCCCCACACCTCTGGCCTGTACCCCAGTTCTTGTATGCATAAGTAAATAAATCTTTAAAAAAAAAAGAATTCTGAAAACCAGGGTTTGCAGAGTAGGATCTTAAAGGACCCCTATATGATCCAAATGAAAGTATCAGCTTTACAAAACTTGTCAACTTGCAAAAGCAGCCATAGAGAGTCAATTCATACTTGGACTATAAAGTTCCATATGATTAAAATGTTTTGTGACTCCGCTTCTGGCCACATTTCAGCCTCTTTTCCTAACCAGCCCTACTAAACTTCCACCAGCCCTGAATTCATCTTTTCTTGCTAGGCTGGGAGCCATCTGGAGAGTCTCTGTTGTTTTCTGAAAAATTCTTGTTCTGTGAAAACTGTTCCCAAACTCAGGAGGTCATTAGCAGGGGAAGATAAGATGCCCTTTGTAGGTACAGTAGTAATGGAGACTCACATTATTCAATGCATGGTCAAGGGAAATTCAAGCACAGCATAGAACACAAGCTTCTATTGTAAGTCCACCAAGTTAACTAGCCTTAGTCAACTTAAAGACTAACCTGGAAGGGAAGAAGGAAAGCAAAGGGGTAAAGTAGATATTTGAATGCATGCCACGACTTAACAAGGCATTAAGAGTATGAAAATAGGGCCTCCCCGGTGGCGCAGCGGTTGAGCGCTGGGTTGCGAAGCTGCCCGCGGCCTCTGCGGCGCCGGTTCTATCCCCGGCTGCTCCCCGGCCACCAGAGGAGGGTCCCACATGGCGCGCAGACCTCTCCTGCCGCCCACTGCTCCCCTCAGCAGTGTACTTCGGTCCTTCTGCCTGCTCTGCTCCCCGCTCTGGCTCTGGTGAATTCTCTCACCCTCCCGCGCTTCTGACTGTACCCAGTGCATGTATAAACAAAACAAATAAACAAATAAATAAATAAATAAATAAACATGCCTCTATTTAAAAAAAAAAAAAAGAGTATGAAAATAAAGTGCTAAGGATGCTGCAAGGATCAAAGGATCATCTAGTGCCTCAGGATTTTGGGTGGGCTTCACTCTGGAGTCCATATTGGAAGGACAATCCCCAAGTGGCTATCTGAAAATCAGCACCTGGGAGTTCCATATTTGGAAGAGGACTGAAGCTAATTGGTGTGAGGGATTAAAGGAATAAGTTGGACTGGTAAATGGAAGTGGGTTGTGAAGAACACAGATGCCAGCGTGAGAAAGTCAAATGCCCATGAGTCCATGTAGCGAAAGAATGATTTTTTTTGAGGGAGAGTCTCAGCATATTAAAGCTGTAGCGCCCTTTTTAATGTTGATAGAGCCAAAGAATCAATGCCTGACTTTCTCAAAACAAGGAAGGGATCTGAGAAAGGAATCCAGTAGGAAGAAAGATTATCTTTTCTTCCCAAATATTATGCACACATTAGGTACACATTTGATTTTAAAATAAAGTCCTTATTGTTATTTAAAATTTTGAGTGCTTCAAAAGGTTTTCCTTTATGGAGGTCAAGTAGGAGGCTCTTGCGTAGGTAGCACAAAAGACTTTGCTACCAGTCTATCATCAGCAAGACGTATCCCCCCTAACAGTGCCAGTGATCCACTTATCCAAACACATCAAAAAGCAGAGGAAAGAGTATAAAGAATGCCCAAGTGCCTGCCTCCCTTCTGTAAGTTTTACCATTCTTGTTTCATTGTCCCCACCCTGCCACATTGACATGCACTAGAGAGGACAGTGTTGTTACTTATTGTTGCAACTTAGGCACACAGCATGGAATCTGGCATACAGCAGGCCTTCAACAAAATGTAGGGGTTGGTACCCCAGTTGCAACAATGAGTAGCACTGTTCTCTCTAGTGTATATCAGTATGTTGGGGTCCAACAATGAAAAAAGAACTGTAGAACTCTGATAACTGCTACGCATGGGAGGTAAGCACTTGGGTGTTCTTTATACTATTTCTTCTGCTTTTTGGTGTGTTTGACAATTTTCCTAATAGTTAGGTAACTGTTCTTTCCCCTAGTAAGGAAGCTAGATTTGATAGATGCTTATTTCACAAAGGCAAGTTCAGCCTTGAAGTTACATCCAGGGATATTAGTGGAAGACCTTGGGATCAAGGTGCAGAAGGTTGCCAGAAAATATCTCCTGGTGGAGGATAACTGTTCTCTAAAAGTACTTGCTCAAATTAAGTAAAGAAGCCCAAAACTACAGGCCTGACTTGACATTTGGCTGCATTGGGAGGTGCTAATAGTCAGGCCCAGGAGTAAGCTCCTATCATATTGCCATTGCCCTTTCTACCTTTTTAGTCCTTCACCTTTGCTTATTTATGGTCCACAGAGGTAAGTAGATATTCAGATAGAGACAACTTCTCCTGAGCACCTATTGTGTGCCAAGTGCTGAACAAAAGCTTTGAGTTACATCCTGTTAGTGCCATCTTACAGAGGATGGAACACTGGAATTCCTCAAGGTGTGGGGAGCACAAGTTCAGAAATTCAGTTCTTTCCATTTCAATATGTAGAGAATAGGTCAGAAACTTGGGATCATAGTTTTGAGCAAGTCATTGGACCTCCCTGAGCTGACTCAATTGATTCAATTTCTCTATAAAAGAAAAAAAAAAGTACAGTAAAACCTTGTAAGGTTTTTTTTTTTTTTTTTTTTTTTTAGCATCAAAGATCTTGACTGTCGTGATCCTAGCATGAAACCAGGGCTCTATAAACGGCAGCCATCATTCTTGGCCAAGCGCAGGAGCATCCTCTTTGGCACGCCTCCCGCGGGGTCCTCCAGGACAGGACGGGACGGCCCCGGTGGCACGAGTCTCGCCCTGCTCGCGGCAGGTGGCCCCCCATCTCTTGCCCACGCCACTCCGTGAGCCGGGCGCGCGGGCGGGTGGGCGGATCAAGGTCTCACCAGAAGGTTCACCTCCCCCGCCCGCCCTGCGCAGGTGAGCTTTCCAGCCCGGGCCGCCGGACAACGACCTTAGGGGGGGGTCGAGGTGGACACCGCGCCCCGAGGGGCCCCTTCCCCAGCTGGGGGTCACCCCACAGTTGGCCCCGGCGCCGGGGCCCGCGGACTGCGCGCGCTGCGGCTGCGAAAACCCGGAGCGCGGATCGGGGCGCGCTCCAGTCAGCCCCCCGCGGCCGCCGGGCCGGGCATGCTCAGTGCGGCCGCCGCGCCGCGTCCGCCACTCGGAGCCTGCGCTCCCGGCCGCGGGGGAGGGGACGCCGGGGCGGCGAGCTGGCGTCGCCCGCCGCCCCAGACTGTGGCAAACTTCGCGGCGTCTCCGGAGCCCCCGGGAGGAGACGGACCCCTCGCCGGTGAAAGCAGACCCCGTCCCTGCCATCGCCGCCCGCGTCATGGAGGCTGCGGCCGCCGCTGCGCCGCCCCCGCCGCCCGCCCCGGCCCACTAGCCGGCGCCCAACAGGTAAACTGCCGGGGCGGGGGGGCTGCGGCCGGCGGGGGGCGGCGGGCTGGGCTGCCCGGACTGGCGGGCGGGCTGTCCGGCTGGCGCGCCCCGTCCGCCCTGGCCGCCCCGCCGCCCGCCGCCCCGGCCCCTGCAGGGGCAGGAAAGGGTTAAGTCGGCCCCGCGCCGCCGCGAGCGCAGCCCCTCCAGCCGCCGCGGCGTCCCCGGAGCTTCCGAGGGGCCCGGGCCGTGGATGCGCCCCTCGAGCCCGGCGGCGTCTCGGAGGCGCCGGCCGCGTCCGCGCCCCCCGGCCGCTCGGGGCCCCGCTCGTGTGGCGGGTCTGCGGGCGCGGCGGGGGGGGTGGTCCCTGCCGAGAGACGGGGCCGGGCGGGTCGCTCGCGGGCGCCTGCCTCGGGCGGGAGGGCGGCCCTGCCCGGGGCGAGCACTCGAGCCTCCCGCGGCGGCTCCAGTAAAAGTTTTTTTTTTCCTCCGTGCCCCTCCCCCGCTTCCCTCCGGCGCCCGATGGGGTGGGTTTGGGTCCATTGGTGAAAAAAGTCACACGTTCCCATCAGCTGCTCCTCCCCCGGGGACGGAGGTTGGCGCCGCGGGGTCCCCGGCAGCCCCCCGTCCCCCGCCGCCCCCGCGCGCTGCGCGCGGAGGCCCCGGCGCTGCGGGGTCCGCCGGGGGCCGCCCCCCAGTGCGAGTCCGCGGGCCGGCCGGCGGCGGCGTCCACCTTCTCTCTTCTGCCCTCAGCGCCGCGGCGGCGGGAGCTCCGGAGGCGAGGGAGCCGTCTGCAGAGGCTGCTCCCTGGCGCTCAGAGGCGGCCGCGCCGGCTCCGGCTCCGACTCTCATTCATTCCGCCGGGTAACATGAGAGATCATGGCCGCCTTCGGGCTTCTCAGCTATGAGCAGAGACCGCTGAAGCGCCCCCGGCTGGGGCCGCCCGACGTCTACCCGCAGGACCCCAAACAGAAGGAGGTAAGGGCGCCCGCGGCCTCCCCGCGCAGCCAGGGCCGCGCGCCGCAGCGCCGACCCGGGGCGACTTGGCCCGGCCGCCCTCGCTCGCGGCGCGGGGGAAGGGTGGGGGGCGCGGGGGGCCGGAGCGCTGTTGGTGGGCCGAGGGGGCCCGGCGGCGGACGCCGAGCGGCTGTCAGCCCCCGCGCCCCACTGGGGTGCTAGCCCCCCCTCCCCCCGGCCCCGGGGCGCTTCTCGGTTATCCGGCCTTGCACCGCGCCGCCGGGCACTTCCCGGGGCTCCTCCTTGCCGAAACCCTCCTGTTCGCGCTCCCCTGCTTCTACCAGCCTTCCTGTTCTCCCTGCTGCCTCTGTCAATCCTCGTAAACTTTTTGAAAAATGTTGGAATGCAGTGCATCTGACCCAGGTCTGGCATTTTGCGCCAGCTGAACAGGAATGGGGTGGGGGTAGGATGGGCGACCTTTTCTTTTCAGATTTTCCAGTTTGGAGTGGAAGTCATCTTTTATCGAGATGGTAAGTATTTAGGTCTTTGAGAGTACTTTATCACTCCTCCCCTTTAAAATAGTGTTATTAGTGGAAACACAGATTTTCGTCCCTAGAGGCGATTGGCTTAATTGCTGGAGGCTGTTTTGTATATGTAAAAGCAGGCGGGTTACCTTGGCTGGGAATAGGTTCCAGGATTGCTTTATTTCTTTGAATGAAATTAACTGGAGAAACCTTGACTCTTGCCCCAGGTACACTAGCTTCCATGGCTAGTGTAACCATGGAGTTTTGTAGCCTTGTATGTATTTGTCAGTAGTTAACAAGTAATTATGTAACAACTCTCCAGTTATAATGATCACTCTTGGCTACACAACTTGCCCAGGGATTTGCCTTTTTTTTTTAAGATCACCTGCTACCCAGCTGTGCTTTCTGAGTTTGCCAGCTGCAGCCCACCCATCCTATGTTTTCTTCGACTAAACAGGAAGTGAGCACATTTCAGAACTTCTTTCTGGGAATCTAAAAACACTCCATTGACAGTTTATAGGCCCGCTGACATTATATGGCAAGGAGAGGTTTACCTTAAGATTTCTCTTGATAATTGTGTCAATTTCAGTAATAGAGGAAGAATGCTTGCTCAAGTTAAGCTGTTTTGTTAATATGTCTGAAAAATAAGGAGTGACAACTCCTTTTAAAAATTAGCACATTAGATATGTTTGAGCATCAGTGGAGTAATTCCTATTGAAGGTGAGAAGGTTGTACAGGTACTTCTCATCAGAGATTTAGCACAAGGGGAGGAGTTTGATGAGGTTTTGAGATTTCTCACCTACCTATTTCTCTCCTGGCTAGTCCCACTCAGAATAAAGCTAATTGTTAGGGAAATAACAGACACTAAGGACAAAATGTAAAGAAAGTTAATAACTGAAAAATTAGTGGCATGAAGTTCTTAAAGATTTGGTGGGACAGGGACATTGATTGGCTGATTTTTATCATCTTGTAATTAATGTCTTGCCTTATTTTACAGAGGGCAGTATAATTGATAGCCTATCCCCAGTTAAGGGGTGGTGAATTGGGGTGCGTATTTAGCATTCTTCAGATTGACCCTCATCTGGATTGGGCCTCCCTGATTCTGCATAAAATAATTTTGGATCTTAGGGTCTTACGTTTTTATGGAATGCTAAAACTGGAAGTGACCTTATAGTCTATTTTCTATAACTTCCTTTCAACAAAGTGAAACTGAGGCCTAGGAAAGCTTAGCTGACTTAATGAAGGTGAACTAGGGGGGAGATGGTCCACCAAACCAGTATTAAACGAATACTGCCTTAAGGATGATTATGCTAAATTGTGTTGTTTTAATGTTACTCCCTTTCCCTCTAAGGCAGTCAACATTTTATCTCCCTGGAATAGAGTCAGAGTTATGTGTGACTGTAGCCAAATTTGAGTACAAAATAGAACAGGTGCTTGGCTGTTCTAGTGTGGTTGTGTGGTGAGCAGTGTTTCATAAACTTCAGTTATGTATGAATCTTTATTGCCTTAAGATTTCTATCTCTGTGTCATCTGTACTTTTATTCTAATATTTCCTTAGAACTGTGTATTAAGAAAGTTGGTGTGTTTGTTAAGCAGTACTATGCATGAATTCAAGGATTTGATGTGATATATGTGTATATGTAGTACGTAAAATTTAAATCAGATCTACGTATAAATTAATTTTAGTTTTTTTAATAGAGGCATGCTTTATTTATTTATTTATTTGTTTGTTTGTTTTGTTTATACATGCACTGGGTACAGTCAGAAGCGCGGGAGGGTGAGAGAATTCACCAGAGCCAGAGCGGGGAGCAGAGCAGGCAGAAGGACCGAAGCACACTGCTGAGGGGAGCAGCAGGCGCCATGTGGGACCCTCCTCCGGTGGCGGGGGAGCAGCTGGGGATCGAACCGGCGGGCTGCTTCGCAACCCAGCGCTCAACCGCTGCGCCACTGGGGAGGCCCTAATTTTAGTTTTTTTATCTTGCACACATACACACACTATTATACATATTAAAATGAGGCTGTAACTATTAAATGTTATAAAAGCTCAACTAAAATCATTATGGAGAAGGTATGGACTTCCAGTTGGGCTGATATAAATTTGAATAATCCTTGCAGTTGTGTGGCCTTGGGCAAGTTGCTTAGCTTTTCATTTGTAAATTAGTATAATTGTGCTTTTCAGATAATTTGAGAGTGCTGCTTAAATGCATTACATTTCTGTGAGAAAAACCCTCCCCCTGGTAGAAACTGTTCTTGTCACTGTAGCAGTTAACTTTTTATCCTTGTTGTTAGTCAGTGCTGACTGCTCTGGAGAATATTACCAGGGGGTAGGATGGAACCCTTTAATGAACACCCTCCTGTAGAAAAATTTGGGGAGGGGGAATGGAAGCTTTAGCCCGCCTGATCTGTTGATTACATTATTGATAGCTCACTGTCTATCAGCGTATCACAGGAGTTTTCTAATTATTGTGTTAAATGGGTTGACCCTCTGGAAACAGACTTTCCTCAAGTTCTTGACTTCCAGGGCAAACTGGAAGTCATCCTTGATTCTTCCTTCTCTTTACATACCCCATAATACATCTGTGACTGCATCTTAGCCAGTCAAATTCCATTATGTATTTCCAGTCCATCTGCTGATCCCCAGTTTCATTAGCATGTGGGACCTACTTTCTTCTGGCTGACTTTTCTCTTTCCAGGGGTTCTTACATGTGTTATTTATCTGCCCTCACTCCTACCACTGCCACAGGCACTCTATTCTTCTCACCTTACCTTGCAGTTAGGAAGGTAGGATCTGGAGTCATTTTGCCTGGGTTCTAATCTTGGTTCTGCTCTTTGTATGTTCCTTATTCTCGCCATCTTTCAACATCCCCTTTTGTAGAGTAGGGGTGATAGTACCACCTACTCCTTAGGGCTGTTAGAAAATTACATGCATAGTACATGTGTAGTGCTTAGACAAGGGTCTGGCATGGATTTTGTATTTTGTATCCAAATATTTGCTGTTGGAAACTATTGTGAGGCTGTCTGTCATTTAGGACTTGTCTCAGTGACCTTCTCAGAGGCCTTTCTAGTAAAAGTGTGCCATTTGTAATTATGTACTGATTTGTATGTTGCCATTCTCCACTAAGGGGCCAGGAATGAGAGCTGTTGGAAGGTCGCTCAAGTACTCTGGTATACTTAGTTCCTGGGATCCTGAGGGCACAAATACTTGTTGGAATGTATGCATGAACATGGGAATGAATTTATTAATAAAGGAAATCTGGTGTCTGAGATGTATTAGGGCAAGTCTTGATTAAGGCAGAAAGTAATCTTGACATCTTCCTTGGAGGCTACAGGCTAACAGTGAAATGAAACCCTAGTAATAGGAAGGTTGAGTTTTATCCTGGGTTGAAAGAGGCCTCAACAGCTGAATAGTAATATGCTCAGGAAATCAAACCAGTTAGAAAAATAGGTGGGGAATTAGTAAGATTTATAGGCATCAGGAGTCAAAGCCACACAAGCAGGGTTCTTGGAGAGGGTGACTGTTACAGGGAAAGGTGAAGGGGCACCTGGAGGCCCCCAGATCTGCCTGCTAAATAGGTTCTGCCACCTGCCACATCAACACAAAACATACTCTAGTGTGTTTGACATTCAATGGAAAAGAACTTGAGTACAGTAAGTGTGCTATAGAGAGAAGAGAAAGAATATAGTTTCTAATGGCACCCCAAGTGACCCATCTCCTCATGAGTAAACATTCAGCCAAACAGGGTTGGGCCAAAGCAGGACTGTTGAGTCCCAAAAGCTTGGCTCAAGTGTGAGGCACCTACTGGTGGGGATCCATAGAAAATGGGCAGAAGGGACCAGGCAAGTCTGCAAAGAAAGGAGCAAAATCAAAACCCAAGTCAAGATAAAGGCTGCCACTGTCAGCCTCCTTATGAGGTGTCTCACCCACATCTCTGTCTCTTTCAAATTTCTCCTTCCATGTGCCCCAAATCCCTAGTGCAAGTGCAAGGCTAAGAAGCAAATGCAGCTTCTTCACATCTCTCTGCTTCATGTGCCTCCTCCACATCCTCTTTTTGATCTCCATCTTCCTTCTCCCTGTTGTCTCTAGCTTATCCTGGCTGCTCAGCTCCACCCCTCCTTGTGTGAGGCTGGGACCTGAAGCCTCCCCTTCCTTGGGGATTAATTACCCTGTTACAATCCTTCCTTTTCATTCTTTTCTCCACCACATCTATGGTGGCTAAGATCTTGGGGTATAGCCTTAGGAGACATTGTTTTCTAGGGTTCATTCCAGTGTGTTTAAGAAAAACAACATGATCAGGGTTCTTGGGGAGGATGACCTGGTGTGCAGTGTTGGGGCTGCCCATGTTCAAGTGCAGTAGACTTGTGAGTTTTCCCGGGAAAGTTGTGTTCTCTCAACTCAAATCTAAGGGAAGGAGTCAAGAAGTCTCAGTCCCTCTCCAATGGTTTTCCGTTGAACTTGGAATAAAATAGTCTCTTTACCTAGGACTTTAAGACCCTACC